CACCAAAAATCAGTGAAAAAATAGAATTCAAGTGGTGTGGGGTGTCAACAAAACTGGGTGCATCTCAAAATAATAAACGCTACCATCACGGTTGCTGCTACTACTAGTACAGTGGACCCTCGACTAACGATATTAATTGGTACCCAAGACCGAATATCGTTAGTCGAGGCAAAATGTTAGCGTTAAAATGTATAGCTAGTTGAATTTAACGTTATACGATGCCATCGTTGGTCGAGGGTCCACTGTATTTCTACTACAATTATATTATGCCTTGCTATCTCACTCTAATATCTATATATGCATGTCCATATCTTGTTTGTAATGTCTTGACAAAGCTCCTGGAGAGAGAAACATTGCCATAAGAACATCACATTAGGTGCACTTGTGTCCTTTTACCTAACAAAACTGGGTATGCCGGGCACACTGGTTTGTTTCTCTTGCATGACAAAAAGAAGAAAAGCACATCTGCATATTTTGCCTTCCATCAACATAAACCAACCAATGGTCAGAACATGTGACCAATCATTGTCAGAGCATCAGACCACCTACAAACTAAAACAAGTTTTTTTAACAGTAGTACATACATATTTTAAATATTTGGTGCTCCACTATTTTAATAAAGTACAGGCATACCTATTAATCAATAAATAAATAACAAAAAGGCACAATACCGTGACTGGAACGATACACAAATAACCCGCACATAAAAGAGAGAAGCTTACGACGACGTTTCGGTCCGACTTGGACCATTGACAAAGTCACACCTAATATACCTATTAATCCCTTGACTGTCGCAACCCCTAATCCTGAGGTCTCTCCTGGTGTAGCAAAAATTAAAAAAAAAAAAATATATATATATATATTTTTTCTTATGAAATGATAGAGAATCTTTTCCTGATGGTAATGACACCAAAAGTATGAAATGTGATGGAAAACTTACGGAATTACGCTCTCGTGAAGTTAGCGACCTCGGCGATATGTATTTACAAATCGGCGATTTCGCCCACTTTGAGCCCTATTTTCAGTTAATTCCTTTGTTCCAGTCGACCAAATTCATAGCTATTTCTTTAGAACTCCATTTTTTCTATCGACTGAGTACAAGAAACTGCCCTTTTACCGATTTCAACTACCCAATAACATGGTCAGAAATTTGCAATTTGGCCAGTTTCATGAAAATTAAAAAATATGACAATTTCAAAATAGGGTCCAGGATGAACAATGCAGACATTCCTGGCTCTAAAATAACATTTTCTTTGTTCATCAGTCACGTCTCCAGACCCCTATGGTATTACTCTTGTTTTCTATTTTGAATTTTTATTCCAACAAAAAATAGATGATTTACTGTTATGCAGACTACTGCAATATTGTAATAATTGTATAAATAACATCAACCCATTCATGACTGCATATCAGAATGGCTAGTTGGATATTTATTGGACAATGACATCATTTGTTTACTTTTGAACATCAGCAAAAATCAAACATTTCCCCTACTTTGAGCTCCATTTCAAGGTTCTTTTTTTAATAAAACCAATCAAAATCACCTCTATTTCTATAATATGTTTTCCATTCTATCAAATGAGATCAAGGAAACGAGAATACAGCCATAAATACTATACGAAAATAGACCACAAAGTAGGCATTTTAATTAAAAAAAAAAAAAAGTCAGAGTTTTTTTTTCTCATTATGCACTGCGTGCTGCAGGATTTTTTTTATATGATGCACATTGATCACACAGACCCATTCTCTCACATGTGGGCCTACCAGCTTTCGCCTGCTTGATTTGAAGCCGCTAAAATTTATGAGTATATATGCGTCAAACAAGGTGGCTCGTAAAACGTGTATATACGACCGAAACAGTCAAAGGGTTAATACAGTGCTCACTTTACAGCACTTCACTAATACAGTGCTTTTCATGTTCATTATTTTTGGCACTTGTCCTGCTCTCAAGATGGTTTTCCACAATTTTAATTTTTTTTTTTAATTTTGCAGTTTTTTATAAGCCTAGTGCTATTGTGTACTTAATAAATAATAGTGCAAACATGTTTTAAGATTTTATATGCACTGGCATATAAGACGTAATGCATTAAAGTGGCAGTCTGGAAGCTAACCCGCCATATTAGTAAGGTATGCCTGTACCCTGAAGTGGAAGTGGAAGATCAGAATTACAAGCACTTAAAAGCTTTAAGTCATTACTTCTTTCACAACATACATCCTTTCTATAATAATCTGTACAAAACAAAAATCTAAAATAAGGATAACGAACTTAATTCGTTCCAAAAGGCTGTTCAAGTGCCGATATCGAATGAATTTGTTCCCATAAGGAATAATGTATTTTAGATTAGCCCATTTCAGACCCCCAAAAATACACTTACAAAAGCACTTACAAAAATACACTTACATAATTGTTCGAGTTGGGAGCTGTTTGAACCTTGAGGTACCACTGCACTTTATATATTTAGCAACTGAGTTAAAGGATTAATAAATATTTGCTTAACAGCACTTCTTAACACTGGTAACACTGAGGTCCATGTTTCGATTCCCGGTACAGGTGGAGACATTAGGACGTGTTTCCTTAAGCCATCTGAACATAGGAGACAGCAGCTTATGACAATGTTTCAGCCTGACTTGGACCATTTACAAAGTCAAAAGCTTCTCTCCCTCTCTCTCTCTCTCTCCTACGTGTGAGTTATTTGTGTATCGTTTCAGTCATGGTATTGTGCCAGTTTGTTTTTAAGACATCTCTTGTCCCTGTTCACCTAGCAGTAAATAGGTAACTGGGTAGTAGCTGACTGGTGCGAGCTGCATCCTGGAGTATACCTGGAGACGATTTCAGGGGTCAACGCCCCCGCAGCCCGGTCTGAGACCAGGCCTTGTGGTGGATCAGGGTCTGAACACCCAGGCTGTTACTGCTGGCCGCATGCAAACTGACGTACGAACCACAGCCCGGCTGGTCAGGTACTGACTTTAGGTGCCTGTCCAGCACCTTCTCGCAGACAGCCAGGGGTCTATTGGTAATCCCCCTTATACATGCTGGGAGGTAGCCGAACAGTCTTGGACCCCTGACACTTATCGTGTTTTGTCTCAGTGTACTTGTGGCATCCCTGCTTTTCATTGGGGAGTGTTGCATCTCCTGCAATTAACCTAATTTGCCCAAAATGCTCTGCATAACAAGGGGCATTCAACATAGTATGTCAATGTCAGCTAGGCTTGTATACCTTGTACATGTACTTGTAGAAATGAAGATTATTATAATAAAAAATATTTATTTTATATTCAGGGTAAAATCATAAAAATGTTGTATATACAGTACTATACATACTGACACAGTTTACAGTTTTTCACTTTACACTGTTAATCAATATAAACATACAATGATGATACATGATGATGAGTTAATTAAACTAGAATAACCCAATAAATCCAAAGGAATTATTTCAAATAATTTGCCAAATAATTTTATGGATAATAATAAAAATTTAAAACATCTGCCTTAAATATCCAAAAACAGATACTGGTAAGTTAGTAGGTTGGTAGACAGCAACCATCCAGAGGGGTACTACTGTCCTCTCAAATAAGTGCGATATGGTAACTTTTTTTTTTTTTTTTTTTTTTTACACACTGGCAGGACTGATGATTTTTTTTATTTTTTTTTGTATCTCATGGACATGTAAGATGGTTGGTAAATCTTAAAAACTTACATTTAGTACATGTGTCTACTTTCCTGTGTGCTTCTTAAAAATTCTTTAAGATGAGATTTGTTTATATTTTTAACCCAGTGTTAGCCTCCCAGGATAACCCAAAAAAAAGCCAGTGCATCATGGAGGGCTGTCTTATTTTCATTGTGGTCCTTCAATCTTGTCCCCAAGAATGCAACCCACACCAGGTGACTAACACCCAGGTACCTACTTACTGCTAGGTGAACAAGGAAAGCAGGTGTAAGGGAACACGCCCAGCATTTCCACCCATGTTGAGGATCGAACCACAGACACTCAGTGTGAAGCAAAAGCACTGACAACCAAGCCAATCTAGGATTGGTCCAAGACTGGGTACGAGGCAGATAATCCCAGAATCACCAAAAGATAACCTAACAAGTAATAAAAAGCAAAATACTATATTAAAGTAACCAAATTATATATGGTAAGAAATAGTAAATACTAAAGACAAACAAAGACTTTGTAAAAACAGCTATATGTTACAAATAAAATATGGGATACACATTATTTGCTTGCATATGTCAGAGGTTCAAACAACGTTAAAGGTCAGGTTAGTACAGATTCGTCAGGAAACAGGCCAACTGTTTCCTAACACTGGTCTTAGTCATATGATGGCCTACAGCTGGAGCTTTTGATTATCTGACTGAGAACTTCTACTAGCTTACTGGGACTTCAAATTCTCAATTTTGAGAGAAGCCTCTGCCTGCCCCCCAGGGACCCCAAAGTTGTCTTGTTCTGCCTTACAAAATTTCTCTTGAAGGCCCTGCAGGGGGTTTCAGCCGGTACACTGGTCCAGTAAATATCGTACTGCTATCACAGATGAAGACTACTTTATTCAGAATATTAATGCCAGGTTAATAACCCAAGATGACCTAACCAAGCAGTATGACTTATTATCATTAAGGTCCTTAGGCCCTCATCCCTCAAGATGTGACTTATAGTAGTCGACTAAATCATAGGTGAAGTGGAACCTCGTTACTTGAACAGCTCCATACTCAAACAATTCGGTAGTTGGACATTTCCTTGGCATTCGACCAAACAAACATGACCTGTCAGAACTTCGCTGACCAGCCGGGCTGTGGCTCGTACGTTGGTTTGCGTGCAGCCAGCAGCAACAGCCTGGTTGATCAGGCTCTGATCCACCAGGAGGCCGCGGGGGTGTTGACCCCCGGAACTCTCTCCAGGTAAACTCCAGGTAAACTATTTCATGCATCTTTGTAGTGTAAAGCACCCTTCTGGCAAGACAGTGATGGAGTGAATGATGGTGAAAGTAATTTCTTTTTCGGGCCACCCTGCCTTGGTGGGAATCGGCCAGTGTGATAATAAAAAATAAAAAAATTGAATTTTTTGGTGCTTTTTTATATTATTTGTTTAAATAAGTCACCATGAGGCCTAAGAGGTTAGTGATAACAGCCAACTAAAAAGAAAATTGCATGGGAAAAATTTGTTCGGTACTCGGACAGATCAGCACTCAAACGGCCTCCTAGAATGAATTAAGTTTGAGTGCCAAGGTTCCACTGTGCTTCTTTACTGGCAAGAGAACGGGAGCAGCAAGTGTTACAAGACCTTGACCATACATAATGCTTTGCCTCTAAGACATTTTAGTTAACAAATCATAAAATCTGACAATACAAAAGAATTACTACTGCAATGAAAATAATACACATCACAAAATAACTTTCATAATAAAAATGGAGTCTGAGACAAGTAACAAATACGAAAAGTTCACCTCTGCATATAGTGTAGGTGTTAAAAAAGTCAATGGATTTTTTTTTTTTTGTACTCTGGCAGGATTGCTGATCTTTTCTGTCTCATGAACACACAAGATGACAGGTAAATCTTGCAAGCTTCTACTTATATTAAGTACACTCACCATCCGACTTACGACATGCGCGACATACGACTACTTGACTTACGACCATGCGTCTGGTTTACAAAAACACTGAAAAGTTGTTTTTTTCGGGAAAAAAAAATATTTCCCAGGTACATGTACTTGGGTATGCGTGAGCTTTCGGCTATTATCTTGGAAGTAAGTTATTCACCTATTTTGTGAAAACCAATCAATAATAATGAATGGATTGAAGTGATTTCCACAACAAACATTAAAGAATGATTGCTTTACAAGATTAAGATTAAATTTTTGAAGTATCCCTATCAGCAATTTTCTATGGATCGACTTACGTACATCCATTTTGACTTACGACCAGTTGGTCGGAATCAAGCTCACTCATAAGTCAGACGGTTCCTGTATACACATACCTATACACCTACCATCCGACTTACGACCGAGTTCGGTTCCAAGAAACCGGTCGTAAGTCGAAATGGTCGTAAGTCGAACTTTACTACTGAATATCAACAAAACATTTTTGTAATGACTTTATTTTATTGTTTTATTTTGGTATTTCATGTTTTACTTTACTTTTTATGCTGTTAGTACTGTATTTTATACTGTAAGGTTTAGGATAAACACTGTGTACAACACAAATAGTTGTTTATTTCCCAGAAATTTGGCATAAAAAACACGGTCGTAAGTCGAGTGGTCGTAAGTTGAGCAGGTCATAAGTCGGATGGTAGGTGTACTTTCCTGTACGCAACTTAACAGTTCTTAATCCTGTAATACTGTATTTCCTTTCTACTCTGGAGGCCTGGTCTGAGATCAGGCCACGGGGAAGATAATCCCCAGAATTTCATATCAGTTGGACGAACATTAAGAAACAGAACTATGTGCTCGACTGGTGCGGGTCGCAACCTGGGACACTGACCTAATTTGCCCAAAATGCTCAGCATAACTAGGGGCTTTCTATATAGTAGTACGTCATTGATGTCAGCTAAGCCTGTATATCATGTACATGTACTTGTAGTAAATAATGATATTATTATAACATGCAAAAATTAATAAATAATTTTCCTCCCTTTTTTGCAGTTGTTAGTTGGGCATTCCATAACTGTACTTTTGATATACATCTGATATACCTTTGATGGGTTTTGACAGTTTTCCTAGCCTCACAGGCTGGCCCTGGGCAGGTCTGCCTGGTGCATTAAAATTTTATTTAAGTCGAAATTCAAATTCAAATCTTTCTTTCAAAATCCTACATGGCAGCTACTGTAGGTGGGTTTAAAATGTTTGGTTACAATCTGGATACAACAATGAGAACACATTCTCTTGTACATTCAAATGAAAGTGATATATTATACAGAGCATTTCAACTAATAAACCCTGTTACTGGCCTTAACATGATTAGGTAATTTATTTCAGCCTTTTATAGCTGTACTATTGAGACACTAATCTTGATTCAGAAATACAGATTTTATAGATGACAAAGCCATCTTATTTGAAAATATCAAACAAGGCTTATTTTCCTGTCAAGCTTTACACAATTCATGCAGCATTTTCATGTCCTTTAGATCATCAGTGCTAAAACAAGAAGATACTTCAGATAATGTTTATATACAAATTAAAAGAGACTTTCCCACCACTCCTTTTTTACTCTATTTCTATTGCTGATATATGAGGAAAATAACAGTTTTAAATGTATTTAAATAAAATTGTTAATATGAATTAAACAGTTTATAATCACGAGGGCATTCTGGTCGTCACTTTCACAGCTGAGGAGAGTGATTTCTAGTATTACTAACATACATGTACCTATTACTGTGATCTATCCTCTCTTTGATGTAATGTAAGTAACTCAGTTTATCTTATTCCTAGTATATCTCTTATAAAGGTTTAAACAATACAGTATTACAAGGACCCCAATGGAAATGAGTCATTTTGTCTAATTTTCTTGGGTTATCTTAGGTAATTTACACATATGCTGCTATGTATGAAAATTTATGTATAACTCTATTTGTGTACCTGAATAAGCTTACTAACCTAAGATGCTTATTTTGACCATTTTTACAAAATTTTAGGAATGACTTCTCTTCATAAAATTGGGGTTATTAATCCAGGGATATTTTTTTAGTAAAAAATTTGTTTTATGATCAATAATATTTGATATTTTACTGATGCTGCAAGGTGGTGGTGGCAGCGGGTGATAAGTCATGGTACTGCATGTCGCATGTTTGTACAGGGATTAAAGAAGGTCACATCAACTCTCCGTGCATTTCCAGATCAATAAGCAATAACTATAATTTAAGAAATGAAACACTATTATTGATAACGAATCACAAAACTTAAAAATGGCATTTTTGAGAATTTTAAGAACATGACCCTATTTTTCCCCTATGTTCTTCAGTTCAATTATCACAATTTTTTTTGGTACACACAACATTCCCAGCACTGTAATTACTGTGTTAATCGAGGGTAAACTCTAAATAATTCTAGGTAATCTACACATATGCTGCTATGTATGATAATTTATGTAACTGTATTTATGTGCACCTGTATTTGAATAAACTTACACTTACAAAACAGTTTTATTTGCCAAACTCTTATTATGCACAGCAAGTCAGGGAAATATTACTATCCTTGCAGTAACAGGGTAAACTATCAGATGCTGATGCCTCTTATCTTGATGCTGTAATCTAAGAAATATATTGCCTGAACATAATTATACATCTTATCAAAATAAATATCACACAAAGCTTTTGTAACATCTGGGAACAATATTAACCCTGACACTATTTAATAAAATATTTAAACCCTGACACTATTTCATACAATATTTTAACCCTGACACTATTTATTGTTGTATCTCATATACATTTAGGTTTAATGCTAATACAGTAAGCATTCATATAAAGTTCCTCTATAGTGTGCATTTTTTTTGTAAATGCAATTGAAAACATGCATTCAAAATTGAACAGCACATGAAAAACCTTCAGAGTACTGAACATGCTACTCAATTATGGATGAACTTTTGAAACACATTTGCAAAAAACTGCACTATATACAGCACAATATTTTCCTGAGAGTTTACTGTAAATCAAAATACAAGGTAACATATATACATTCCTATAGAATTTTGACTCTTGTAATCATCAGGAGGAATGAAACTTTTATGTACAGTGGACCCCCGGTTAACGATATTTTTTCACTCCATAAGTATGTTCAGGTGCCAGTAATGACCGAATTTATTCCCATAAGGAATATTGTGAAGTAGATTAGTCCATTTCAGACCCCCAAACATACACGTACAAACGCACTTACATAAATACATTTACATAATTGGTCGCATTCGGAGGTAATCGTTATGCGGGGGTCCACTGTATTATACACATAATAAATATTGCTTTTACTTTCATATGTGCTTCTTAATAGATCTTAATCCTGAAATATGTATTTCGTTTCCAATATAGAAAGAGGTCTGGTATGAGACCGGGTCATTGGGAATCACTTATAGATAACAGAATCTGAACATGTCATGAAGACGAAGATAATAATAATGATATTTCATTTCAGCATGATACAATGTTTGTATAGAGACGGGCGGCATTTTAGTTGTGCGTGCAGAAAGCCCAGTTATGCAGAGCACATCAGGCAAGCTTAAGCCTAGCCTAAGACTATGAAACAACACAGTTGCACAACACTCACCTATCATACTCTGCATTGTCATGGTCACATCGCTCATCCTTATACTCCTTCCAGCTGTCTCCGTGCTTACAGGTCGTCAGAAGAACAATATCCCGCTCATTATGCAGGTGGTATAGGCTGTTCCGTGTCTCGCTGCCGATACCATACACGTATCTTTTACCCTTAAAGGACAAAAGGTATTTCTTGGTCCCTGGAAATTTGTTGGACTCCAAGTAGCCGTCATCACCGCCCCGTTCAGGATGTGACTTGTAAAACAATGGAAGTGAAATGTCAAATCCAGGGCGGAAATTTTCGTATGATATGCTGGCTTTGGCTAATATAGCCTTGCCCACGTCAAACCCTAAATCTTCCGTATAGTCAGGAAAGGTGCCCGAATAGAGATTAAATATTATGTGATTCTGTCCACTGTTCCACAACGGCAATCTTTGAATCCTGTGAGGCATATTTCTTATGTAATCTTTACTTAGGTTGTCGCGATCCAGCGTGTCAAGGCTCAGAACAAAAATACAAGCTTGACTAGGGTCTGACGTGTAGTAATTAGAATCCTGTATCACATTGAGCACTTTCATATAATTGTTGCTGGGCGGCGCGTTGTCATCGACCGGATACACATACACTTTAAAACCTTTCTCACAGAGCGTAAAATCGAAGCACGTTTCCATCCGACACGTTTTGAACGCCGCCTCGTCATCATTTTCCCTAGTAGTTCTTCTATTCCTAAACCTCGGGCTGGGAGATATATCCTCATCATGGACTACATCAGAGTCTTCAGAGTAACTAGAGAGGTGCTGGTACCATTTACTGTGTCTATGAACTTTAAAGTGATGGTAACCGAAGTATCCGAAGGAGAGGAAAGCACAGCAACTGAACAAGAGTAAATAACGTTTCTTGGCTTGCATTGTCACCACGTTCTTCTTAAACTGCTCCTGAGGCAACACTTCAAGTGGACATCACCGGCACCTCTAGGGTATACCCAGACCTCTAGTATCCCATTATATCCCCTGGATTATGGCACTCCTGACGTATGCCATCTCCCTCTAACCTCTCCATTTTGAGAGATAAAATTAGAGATGCCCTGAAATAGGGAAGGGCTAGATAGCCCCTACACACAGACACAAATTCACTCATGTTTGAGGTTCACCACCGCTATTTAACCTCATTACTGGTATATTATAGGACGATGGTGAGTATTACCCACCTCCCCGGACACTCACACTCATGGTAACACATTATTCAGCCACAGAACACACGCTTTTATTGAGAAAGACACAGAAAAGACGTAATAAGAGAGCTGAGGCTCCCTGAGTCCCTCACCCACTGGGTGTAAACACATTACTGTGTTGAAGATGGCCAGCCAGGCCAGCCAGGCCAGCCAGCCAGGCCAGCCATCTG